AACCAACTCAGCAGATAGGCTAAAGCAGGTTGAGGGTAATAGACAGGCCTCAAAGCCGTCGGTGAGTTAGTGGGATGTCTACCCCAGATACGTGAAAACTCTCCTTATAGGAATGGGCAGATGAGAACAATTTGCTCCAACAGCCATGATGGTACTGAAACAGGTGCTGTGTAACACTTAGAGCTTGGTCAGATACCAAAGATGCCAAAGTCATTCTCAGGCTACCACCAATCATCCTGACTTTTGTCTTGCCACTGGATTTTGATAACAGTGGAAGAGAGAGGGAGGCTGACGACTTTATGCAACTCTGCCTCACAAATCCAATTCACCAGTGAGTCAAGACATCATCCCATGATGTCCTTTGTCCTCTTTGAAAAACAAAGGACAAACAACAGCACATTGCATAATATTGTGATAAGATTACGTAACAATAGCTTTAATATATTTCGGTTGCCATGTAGGAAACCAACAGAAGCAGGGAGAAATTAAACCTTTGGGTAATTCTTTCTGGAGCTGGTCATTTTTAGGGATGATCTGAAAAAACAAAGAATCTTAGAACCAAAAGAGATGTCCTCTATAGATTATCACTGTCTTTGCCTCCCAAAAATTAGACAAAACTCATTTAGTGGATCTCACCAATGTTTCACCAAATGTAAACAAAGTTCAAGTAGCAAGACTTGAACTAATCTTTACTGGGGTACGTCTCAGAAAATTAACTCACCCTCAAATAAGGAATTTCAATTCACTTCATTGGGGCAAACATTGTTTGCTGGATTGAATTGAGGGAGGATGTCACTGATGACGGACCAATCTCCAAATCCCAAGAATATGTCAATGGGACATTCAGAGACATCCTCAGTCAGACTCTAATCAGAGATACCCCAAATACTGAAGATTTGCTCTGCGTGGGCACTCTGCTTCACTGATGTAGACACCAACTCCTCTCTACTCACGTGTACCATCCTTCAGTCAACCTGGTGACTGATAACTGAACAAAACGCCTTTATGTATTAAAATATTTATCTAATACACAATAGCTGTTCAGTTACTTAAGTATCCTTTCACTTTAAGGCTGTAACTTCTCCCTAATCTCAGCTTTGTCATCCTTTGCTTTCCCTAACCCAGATGCCATCATTCTTCTGACAGAATTCCTTAATGCTATCGCAGAGCTAGCTAGGCTCACTAGTACAAGCACTAGTTCTGGAAAGGATGTGCCCATCTACTCCCCTATGACTCAACTCACCATCCCTGTAACTTTCCAAATCAAAACACCCTTTCTTGGCCACCATTCCTACATATGTATTGTCACTCCCTACTAGAATATAAGCTTCTTGGGAGCAGAGACTGCTTTTACTTTGCATTTGTAGCCCTGCAATTAGCACAGAGCTAGACCCATATGAGTACTTAATAAATACGATGGATTCTTTTCATACAGTCACTTACTCATTTCTGTTATCCTTGACACTGTTTTTCACTTTAACAAAAATTCAAAAAGAAAAAAAAATCACATTTGGGTTTTATCACAACGTACAATACATAATATGGTGACATGTACTGTCTAAGTACTCCATAAATGATAGTTAGGATAAAGGAGAAAAGTAAGTAAATGCTATTGCAAAATAGAATGCATTACTTAGAATTTTCCAGAGCATCAGGAACAGATATGTTAATCATCCCTTCTCAAAAGATAGTGAAATGTTTTAAAGATTTCTAGCTATCAGAGGATTGTGTGTGTGTGTGTGTGTGTGTGTGTGTGTGTGTGTGTGTGTGTAATAAAGAGAAATAGACTTTACGAATCGCTATCACTTATTTTTACCTTCTGTTGAGTTTTGTTTCATCTTTCTGATGGTTCCTCCTATTGGTTTTAATTTTTACTTACAACTTCACTAATGTGAAAATATGTTTAATGGGTATGTAAATGTAAAGCCTATATCAAATTGTGCACCATCTTGGGGAGGATGGGGGGGAGGAAGAGGGAGAAAAATTTTCAAGTCAAAAGCATATGGAAGTGATTGTTGATAAATCAAAATAAATTAATAAAATTTTAAAAAAGAGAGAAATAGATTTTAGATGGTTAGGGTGGGCAATGAAAATGACAGAATGATCCTATTTCTTTAATTCTGTTTTTGTGTTATAGTTAATATATGCATAGTCTTTTAAAACCCCTTGATTTCCAGTACTCTAATGACATGTCGCTTCTATGTAGAATAATTTACTCTTTTTTTTCTCTCCTAAAATTAAAAGTGCTACCTGGTTCTATTAATTTTATCTTGGTATGAAATAAATCCATGCTGTGCATTTCTTATGTTCCTTTGTTTTCCAATGGGAAGCACCAAAAGGTAGATTTTAAAAGAAGCACAACTCAAAATGAAGGGAAAATGATTCATGTCCTCAAGTGAGTAATTCCTGTATCTGCATAACTCTTCACCCACAGATGCAGCAAAATCTCATTAATTCAAACTCCATTAATTCAGGGCTCATGATAAGGGAGGAAGAGCAGAATGTAGCAGAGAAGGCCCAGCCTGGGTGTCAGGAGTCCTAACTCCCATCACCTCCCAGCTGGGTAAACTTGGACACGTGGTTTTCCATCTCAAGGCCTGTTTCCTTCATCTTTAAATTGAAGGGAATGAACTCAGTGATTTCTAAGGTTTGTCTGTGGCTTTTATATGGGTGCCTCTTATCTCAGGGAGGCAGTGGAGCCTCATCGATAAAGCACGAGATTTGGAGTCAGGAAAAACACATCCTTGGTGGAGAAGACATCGATCCTGGAGACAGCTTTAGATTTGGAGACCTAGGATCAGATTTGGAGTAAGAAAGAACCCTAGAGGTCATCAGGACCAACCCCATTATCTAGCAAATGAGGAAACTGAGGCCCTGAGATGATAAGCAACTTGCCCAAGGTGGGCAATAGATCTTCGATTTGAACCCAGGTTCTCTGACTCCATAATACAACATTCATTTTGCTATTGTATACTGCCTTCATTGAAGGACATCTCAAATCAGGCTTCAAATCATGTTTCTATCATTATTCTTCATGATTTCCCTTCATGCATTCCAGGTTCCAATTTGAGTTATTCTCTGTTCTTTTCTGTCTTCCTTCAGCATTCTCCTGCCTCTGTTGATTCACACAGATCATTCCCCATGTCTGAAGCATCCTCTCCCCCCATCACTGATTGCCGGAATTCTCCTCTCCCTTCCAAACTTAAGTCAGGGTCTCCCTCAGAACTACTTTATAGCTTTCCCTAATCCTTCCCTCAAAGCCAAAGGTGACTTTTCCCTTCTTACATCTTACCCATTTCTCTATATGTGTCTGTCCTATGAACATGTTATATTATAAGCAAGTCACTTTCCCTTTCTCATGTGCTCAGTGAGGTAGTCTCTGATATCACTTTCATCTCTGAGGCTCTGTGATTCATTCTCATTCTACAAAGCAAGGCTTCTTAACCTCAAAGCCCAAAGAAAGGGACATTCACAGGGACAGGATTTTTGCCTTGTGTGTTTGGTTGGGGAGAGAAGGGACTGTCATGTGGGCAAGAGTTCAGCTTAATCCTGTGTGGCCCCAGAGGGCTCACTAAAGAGTTCTTCACAGAATCTGCAGAAAGACAAATTTGGGCTCAGTGAAAGAAACACTACATTCAGGAATCACGTAGATGTGTTGGGTATAGGGAACAGGCATAAGGAGCTTATGGTTGAAGAAGCCCCTGCTTCCAACCCACGTTAGCACTTATTCTGCAACAAGAAGCTAAGTACCCTGCCTAGGGTCACACAGATAATGTATACCAAAGATGACACTTGAACCCACGGCTTTGCAACTCTGAGGCTGGCTCCTTCTCCGTTAGGTCTCACTGCCTCTCAATAGTTAGAACTCTGAAAACGTCATAGAGTCAAAATTTGCCAGAGGTCTGCAAGACAAAGCTGGAGGAACACTTGTCAGAGAGGTCATAGAGGAAGGGTCCTGCTCTGGAATAAATGGCCTCTGGAGTCCTGTTGTCCTGTTACTTTGGGGTTCCTTTAAAGCACAGATTATCTCCTTCATCGTCATTCTTCCCTCTTGTACATAAGGAGCTAGTGCTTTGGGGGAGATCTCACAAAGCAGTCTCCACCAGTCCTAATATATTGGAGAAATAGAGATTTCCCTCTGCCTACTTTTGCTGGGGCTGGAGGCAGCTGGACATGGAGAGGGACCCTGCTCTTGCCAAGACATTCTAATTCCAAAGATTTCATTGCAAGTTGCAGATACAAGGACTGCAAGAACCCAATGAGTCCCAAGACTTCCAAATTTGTCATCAAATTATGGCAAGAAGGACTCTAGAAATCACCTTGTCCAGCTCTCTCTTTTTCCAGAGAGACAAATGGAAACCCAGAGATTTGTCTAAAGTCACACATTGAGTCAGTGACAATGCCAAGTCTAAAATCCAGACCTCCCGCGTTTAAGTGCAGGGCTCACTCCTTTCCATTCTATTGTCTCCAAGTGGGCGGGGGACTGGGGGGGAGAGGGGAGAAGAGAGAGAAAAATGAGCCTTGATGATGTTTCTTAAATGAACATTTTCACCAAAATAGCAATTACTTCCTTTTTTGCTAGAATTTTGCAGCCAGCCATCTTTTCCTTTATTGATTGTAGGTAGATGTCCCATAAATAATAATATGAAGTTGCTGCCAGATCCAAAAATATAAATGAATAAATTAGCACTGGGGCTTATGTTATATGCTAGCTAAGTGGAATGTAACTTCAGCTCAAAGATTTTACCAGTAATTGCTCTATCTGTAAAAATACTCAATGCTATAAATAAGATTGCTTTTATGATGCAATTTTAATTGACTTTTCAATAATGCTTGTTCATTTGTCATAGCTGTCAAGGGGAAAGAGGATAAGGGCTCATTCATTAGTATCTTTTTTAAAAAAAATATACTGTATAAAATTGACTACATATGTGCCAAATCCTTTTGGTAATTATCTTTTTAAAGCCTAACAACATGCACATTTATCTTATCTCTTCAAGGAGCATTGTTTTAAATCCAGCCTATTTCCGGAATCATCTTCGTCAGGCAACAGTGTTTAGATGTCTGGAGAGATATTCGGAAGCGGCCCGGTATGTCTGATATAACTTTTGCAGAGATTTATTCCAAATGAAATTAATTTAATCTTGGGCTTCTGGGAATAACATATTAGAACTTTCCATTCCTCTCATGGAATATGATTTTACCAGAATGATTGTCTTGTAAACGTCAAGCCCACAATCATGGACTATCTATTTCTTTAATTAAAGTGTTTCCGTGTGCATAGCTATTAGCAGAGACCATGAGTTGTGAGGTCACTTGCTGGCAATGAGGAGTTTTGGATGGGCATTGTGAACTTAAGCCTGGCTTTCCTTAATGAGCTTCTGGCTTTGAACTACCGATCATCCCTTTGGTCCTAAACACAGAACTGGAAACTCAGGACCCCTTACTTGGGTTAGATGGCGTCTAGAACTTTTCTGTGTTATGTATGGAGAAAGACAGAAGCTTTCTATTGCCTCACCTACTATAACCTAAACCAAACAGGCGACTGTGGCGTTACACATACCTGGAGAAGTTGTCAGCCTCTAACGGGAGGGAGCCGATGGTCCTGCTGAGCTCTGCCCTGCTCAGACCAGGTCTAGAGACACATCCTCTGGTCTCAGGGCCATGTTTTGGGAGCAATGGTGGCAAGCTTGAGTGTGCCGAGGAGAGAAAGAACAGGATGGGGAGGGCACATAAAAGCATGTCATGGGAGGACACGGCTAGCCAGAAGAAAGCACCACTTACGAGGACATGCTATTTCTTTTTGATTCTCATTCTTCTGTTCATCTTTATCCTTTTCCTCCAATTTAAAGTCTATTTTTATTTTATGAATGAAAATGTTATTTTATCTGGGTCTATATCAAATGACCCTGTGATCCCATGATAAAGTCTGACACATCCTGGTTGTGTGACCTTGGGCAAGTCATAACCTCTCAGTGCTCCAAAGGACCTTTCAAGGCTTTAAATTGGGGGCTCTTAACCCTTTTTTGTATGTGTCCTGGGCCTCTTTGTCATTGAAGGAAGCCAGTGAACCAATACTCAAAATCATATTTTTAGATGTGTAAAATAAAATTCCAAGGATTGTAAAGAAAATCAATTATTTTGAAATACAGTTATCAAAATAGATTGGGAGGGAAAAAAAGTTCACAGACTCTTGATGAAGAATCTCTGCAACAGGTGAAAAACAGGAGTTGATCTGCATTGATAGAAGCAGATCCCTTCCTGGGAATTTGATGAAATCACAGGTCTGATCCAAAATTAAAAAGTTAAAAAATTAAAATTAATACCTTGTGCATTAAGTCCTCTAGTACCTGTTGGGGAAAGGGAGTGGTCCCTGGGTTATCCCAGCTGATTCTGGCATGGCCCCTGCCCTGACCGGTCATAGTGGTCTAGAGAGCCTTCAGAGAGGAAATCAGCAGTAAAATCAGGCTCTGTAGCAGGCGGTCTGCAGGGGCATCGGATGCTGCTCAGCCGCAGCTGCTCCAAAAGGCTGCCACCCAGGCTGCAGGGAGGTCATCGTCTGCACATGGTCTGCACCGCACTTTGAAGTCTTAAACAGCCATCTACTTGAGAGCAGAGATTGTTTCATTTTGGGTTTTGTATCTCCAGCACCCGCCACGGTGCCTAGTATGTAGTGAGCACTCAATAAACACGTGTTGATCGACTGACATCATATGTAGAAAATAGAAAGCTGTGTTTCGGGGCAGGGTTTTGATCTGGAGTTGTTTCACCTATTTTCCTCATTTCCTGCTAGACTATAAACTTCTTAAAGCTAAAGACCCCCACACCAGAACAAACTAAATCATGCTTATCCTGGAGGAGATAAAACCTAGGGGGACATAGTGACTGCCTCCACGTGTTTCAATGGCTGTATAACATGGAAGAGGAATGGACCTCGTTCTGCTGGGCTCTAGAAAACCAGAAAAGATAGATGGAGGGTATAAAAGGACAAATGCAGGCTTCATGCCAGGAAGTGCTTCCTGCAGCCTGCCCTGGGAGGTAGTAGACCTGCCCTGCCCACCAGCCCAGTGGAGGTCTTCCCTTTTATGTGTTGTCCTCCCCCATTAGAACTGAAACTGCTTGAGGACATGGGCTGTCTTTCTTTTAGCTTGTAGGTGTATCCTCAGAACTTAGCATAGTGGCAAGTACATAGTAAACATTTAACAAATACTTGTTGGTCTACTGGCTGCTTGATTGCTAAGCATTCTTCCAGAATCACATCTCTGTGGCCCTCCATATAGTTGTACTTCCTCATACAGATTCATGAGGCTAAATTGTATCTCACCCTGTCGATAGAACCACATCTGCTTTCCTTGGGATAATTCCTCCATTTCACCTTGATTTTCCGTCAGTTGCCTCTCTCTGCCCAATCTCCTGAGCTGTGTTTCTACGAAGTGAGATGGTGAGTCAAAACCCAAAGACTTCATCTAATAAGAACTTTTCTTTTTTCTTCCTCAGGGCTTTTTTTTCTTCCTTCCTTTGCTTAATTTATTTATTGATGACTTTTGTTTCAGCACAACTGTCAAACACAAAAACTTCAAATAAACTACAAAGCAGATTTCCTTAAAAGTATTCAGCAGAATAACACAAAACAGTGTTTATGGATGGTAGTCGGTATAGCTATACACAGCATTTATTGGGGGAAAAAAGTTTTCAAAGAATTGAAGTTGATGCTATCCAAAGGACAATATGGCAGTACCCAGTGGAAATGGCTGCAACCTAATTAATAAACCAGAATTATGAAGAAGGGCTATAAAGGAAGTCATCAGAGGCATTTAGTAGATGAGGAAAAGATAGTTTGGTCATGTTGTAACCTGAGAGATAACCAGTAGACAGTCTCTGTATTATAGCACGGGTATCCTGAAGTAAGGGGAAGTCAAAGAAGGCCCCAATCACCTTGTGTAGGACACCTTGTGGTAAACATATGGGACATTGTAAAAGTCCCACTAGATAGGCTGGCATGGACAAGCTGCAACCTGCATCATTGGAAGAACCATCAACAACAGTGAGGTCCTGTATCCACTGGCATGTTGGAGTAAAAAAAAATGCCATGTACCAGAACTTTAACAAGGTAGCAGCAGCAATAGCATCTGTTATATTTAACCAGGGCTTTGTTACCTTAGAGAGGCAGAATAACTCAGTGGGATCAAATTCAGATAGAAAGGTGACCACTAAACCATACATAAGGATCTCTGTCAGTGCACTTTGACTTAGAAAACCACATAATAACATTGTCTATGTTGCATTGTATTTATGTTTATTTTGTTTAAAATTTCCCAATTACATTTTAATCTGGTTTGGGTCCTTCTTGGGAGTGTTGCTGCCCATGGGCTATGTGTTTGACATCTTTGGTTTAGCAGATTAAAAAGCTGGCCTCAGAGGCATGGAGACCTGGTTTAAATCTTGCCTCTGACATATACAAGCTAAGTGACCCCAGGAAAGTCCCAATGCTCTGGTAAACTCTCTTAGACTATATAAATTGTCTAGCAAGTGCTGCCCTGCCTTACATTTCTCTCTTGGAGGAGTTCCGCACACCAGTGAAGTCATTGATCCTTCCCCAATCCCTTTGCTGCCGTTTGCCACAGTGATTATCTGCATAGCTTTAATCAGTATTTCGTTTGCTCTCTGGGATCTGCTTTCTTCACTCTGCATCCCTTCATATTATTCTTCTAATGTTTCTTTGAATTCCTTATATGAGTCATCCCTAATAACCTCCCAAGAGTTTTTCTTCCCTCCAAACCCTTCCTTTTCCAGGTTAGCATCGGCACTTTTCAACCGGACAGTGGTGTTGAGAGCATTGTCTGTGATTTCTCTAACACTAATGCAATAGACCTCAAGCATCTGTATCTTCAGTCTTCCTGGCACTCAGCTTATTATTTTCAAGTGAAACAGGAGCATCATTCACCATTTTTAGAATTTATTCTTTAATACTAGAGGGAGGGATAACTTCAAAGCCTACACATCCTTTGTCACTAGTAAGATGAAAAAAATGTGCAAAGGCCACCATTTTCTCCAAGCTCTCCTAAACATTTGACTTTTAGTAGAATTCCAGGCACAAGAAACACTAAAAATTATATCTCCATAATTTTTATAATGAGGTTGAAAGCCCCATAAAGTGCCTGTATGATGAAACAAGTTTCTGATGAAAGCTCTTCTCTTATAATATTTCATATTCTGAATAAACTTCCTGGCCCAAAGCTAAAGGAATAAGATAACCACAGCAAGCAAGGAGGCCATAAAGCAGTCCTAAGAGGGAACACAAAGCCTGGGTGACCATTGATCAGAGTCGTTGTAGAAAAGATTCCTCTCTTGGGAGGAAAGGTGGGCTAGGTGTCTTCCACAGTCTTGCTCATTCCTAAGATTCTTTGATTCCATGATGCTAGCTCAGCTTCCTGGAAGGATGCCCTGTGGTTATCTGACAACAGAACTGCTTTTTATTCCTTGAGGTTTCAAAGTGATTTTTTTTTCCATAAAGGGACACAATGATAATGGAACATTTGGAAAATTTTTGTTCATCCATTAGGCGAAGGTGTAAATAAAATGTGGAAACTCAAACTAAGGTAAAGGCTACTGAAATTGAGAGGAAGCTGGAGCACCTGATCTCCTTCAATAGGTAGAAACAACAGAGCTAATCACCAAGTTTGCAAGAATCACTAGTAAAAACAGGACACTACTGGAGTCTTTCATTAAAGACATTTGTTCTGCAAAGTTTGGATTCAGTCAAAGGGCTGCACTTGAGGACCTAGAGGGCCACATGTGGCCTCGAGGTCACAGGTTCCCCATCCCTGTACTAGCCACTCTACTTGTTCCCCAAGATGCCACTCTTTCCTGGTTCACTTACCTCTGCCCCAGCCCTCCAGTAGCAGCCATGCCTGGGTCCAGTACCCTGGTATTGCTCTCCCACATGGAACCTTGTGTCATCCCCTCTCAAGTTGTCCCTTTTCTATCAGCACCACCCCCAAAATTGCTAGTTGTAGAATTCTGGCAACAGGTGAAAACTTTTGAAATCTCTAAAAAAGATTTTTATTTCATGGAAGCCCTCAGTGTTTGT